CCAATGTAAAGTAGTTAAATATTTTTACAAACAAATATAAATTTACAAATTAAGATTATTACAAGGTTTAAGGTTTCATTTGCACAGTGAAACCAAAAATCCCAGAACGCCTGGATGATTACAACTACACAGGCTTCCAATAGTAGCACAGATACCAACTACCTGCTCTTCTGTTACCTTTTAAGCTTTAAAACGGTCATCTTCTGGCAATGAAGGAAATAATATTCACCACCATATCAGTGGCCTAATAAACATTTTGCAACCTACACCGATGTTATTCTGTGTCATCTGTTCTTTTACCATGTGTTGCACTGACTGTACCTGGATGATACACGATGATCATTGATACAAATGCATGGTCTATTTTGATGCACGACAAACACTCATGCAACATTATTTATAGGCTAAGTCATAAAGTTTCACAAACATATATATATATATACTCTTAATTAGGCTTTATTTATATATATATATTCATAAACTGTTCCCTCCTGGTGGAATGGCCTGCCCAAATCAATTCGAGCAGCTGAGTCCTTAGCCATCTTCAAGAAACAGCTAAAAACACATCTCTTCCATCTATATTTGACTCTCTAACTCTAGCACTCTCTATTGTAATTCTATTTCATCTATTTGTTGACTTGACCCTCTAACACTTGCACTCTCCATTAATTTTCCAACTGCTTGTTTTCTTTTAAAAAGACCTCTTAACACTAGCTTTCTCTATTATTTTTCTATTCTATCTACTTGTTTTCTTTTTGTTATGTGTATGTATCTGTAAAGCGTCTGCTAAATGACTACATAAATAAAAAGGCCTCTAAATATAAAAAATAAAGTGGAATAAAGATTGGATTGTGGCCTTGATTAGCTTGTGATAAGATGTTGGTAAAATGTGTGTTGGTGTGGATGTTGATGTTATGTGAGACAGTGACATTTTATTTTTAAAAATATGAATTCAATAGTGATTCACACTCAAAATCCACGAAAATGTTAGTCATGGAGAATGCCATTAATAAAGTAAAGTTTTCCTGAATTTTGAGCATTAATCCCTATTGAATCCTTGTTACAAACTAAAAAGATTTATGCACCAAAACAAGACAACATAGGAGACGAGAGTGTGATGTTAACGTCCTTGTAGAATCTGCTGTATAAAAATATGACATGATAAAGCTAAAAAAAAAAAAAACAATTCTTCACTTGATTCTGGCATTTGATACAGGACATTACCATTCAAAAGTTTGGGATTACTATGATTTTTTTATTTTTAAGAAATTTATATTTTTGTTCTTCAAGGATGCATTAATTTAATAAAAATGACAGTAAAGACATTTATAATGTAAAAAAAGATTTCTATTTCAAATAAATGCTGTTCTTCTAAACTTTCCATTCATCAAGGAATCCTGTCGCTGTATAATGGTTTCCACACTTCATTAACCAGTACAACCATTTTCAACTGTGATAATCATAAATGTTTCTTGTGCAGCAAATCATAATTAGAATGATCATGAGACACTGAAGAGGAGAAGTTGAGATCTGACATCACAGGGGGGAAACCTTTATTTTAAATTGTAAAATTATTTCACAATGTTAATGTTTTTTAATATTTTTAATCTGATGCAGTTGGTGAACATGAACAAAGAACCTTACTAATACAAATCCTTAGAACAATATTGTATATATCATATTAAAACAAGCACAAGCACAAGCACACTTATGAACATTTGTTAATAAAATTATTTTTAACATGAAATTAGCTTCTTATTCCATTCCATAAAATGCAGTGAAGTATTTGTTTTCTCATTTAGTGTGCCAAATGTAGGCTACTTTTTAAACTTTTGTCCAAGGAACACTTCCATGCTTGTGTGTGGTCTTAGATTCTATTCATTTTGTAAATACAGCCTAAGCCTAACAGTTTAAGAATAATTACACCAGGATAGATGAAAAACGATTAGTCCACAAATACAAGTTTATTTCAGCTGTTGTACTCAAAAGATAACAACTAACAACAGACATAGATTTAAAGCATTGCAAGCTACAGCACAACGAACTGAAATCAAAGTAAGTTAAGTGTGCTGAATGTATGCAAATACAATCATTCAGTCAGCGACGACTGCACAAAACGTGCAAACTAATAAAAACGTTGTAAACTGTTACGAAATGATGAACAAATGTAGTTTAGGCATAGGTTTGTGCAACACTGTAAATATATTTACCTTTTTTTAAATATTCCATTAAACCTGCTGAGATAAGGAGCATGAACTGAAATTCTCAGTTCCACTTGGTTCCACGCGCATGTCCGAGAAACTCATGAATATTCATGTATGCTCCGCCCACTGAAACAGAAAATCTCGGAAACCAAAAATCTCGTAATACCGGTATCACAGTGGGGGCGGGGCGTTCCCTCTTTTCCTCGCTTTCAAATAGCTTAAAAGCGCCGTGCATTTTACTTTCATTGAATTAACAGCAGTTTGGTGTCAATTGCTTGAATGCAACAGCCAAATACAACGTCAAACTCACTTTAGCTTATATATCAAACATTTAACTTTTATTAACAAAACAAATAAAAATACACCATGCTATAGGGCAAGCTATAGCCTATGCCTAATATAAAATAACAAATAACTTACATAAAGTTTAATAGGTATACAAAACTGGAAATAAGTAAACATGTATAATATATAACCAAATAAATTAGAAACGTAGAACGTTTATTAGCAAAACGAATGTCAAATAAAATAAATAAATGACAGTTTAAATAAAGTAAAAATCAGCAAACAATGTGGAACCAATAAGAAACGAATGTTTAAAAAAAACTTCCAAAATCACCTTAGTTAAAAGACAAAAGTCAACAAGCTTTTCAAAATCCAAAATATTGCCAAACAGGCGCGCTTTTGCATTTAGTTCAAATCATCCGAGGTCATTTGAGAGCAGTCTCAGTACTATGATACGGTCTAAATCCTGACTGGAAATCCTCTCAGATACCATTTTTCTCTAAGAAGGAATATGATTGTGAGGGTATTAACTTTTCTAGTATCTTGGACAGAAAAGGGAGATTCGAGATCGGTCTGTAATTAACTAGTTCTTTGGGGTCAAGTTGTGTTTTTTTGATGAGAGGCTTAATAACAGCCAGTTTGAAGGTTTTGGGGACATATCCTAATTACAATGACGAATTAATAATAGTCAGGATCTATGACTTCTGGAAGCACCTCTTTTAGGAGCTTAGATGGAATAGGGTCTAACATGTTGTTGGTTTAGATGATTTAACAAGTTTATACAATTCTTCTTTTCTATAGTAGAGATTGAGTGGAATTGTTCCTCAGGGGATCTATAGCACACTATCTGATGCGTTACTGTAGCTGACGGCTGCATGGTTACAATTTTACCTTTAAAAGTATCGATCTTGGAAGTAAAGTAGTTCATAAAGTCATTACTGTTGTGCTGTTGGAAATGTCAACACTTGTTGATGCTTTATTTTTCATTAATTTAGCCACTGTATTGAATAAACAGCTGGGGTTATGTATACTTGTGATGTCTTTGTTTACAGGAGACCGTGTCATCAATGAACTACCTTAGCATGATGGCCATTTTTGGTTTTGTTGCCTTCTTCAAAGTGGGGCCTTGGTTCTTTGTGGCTGAACTCTTCTCACAAGGTCCCAGACCAGCAGCCATGGCAGTAGCAGGCTGCTTCAACTGGACAGCCAACTTCCTCATTGGCATGGGCTTCCAGTATGTCGCTGTAAGAGTACAGGAAACAGCAACAGCTAGCAATGGTTCACTTAGCTGCTTATGGCATCAAAATGTGCTATAAATCCTAACCCTAACCGTCAATCTCTCCTTACCACAGAACCTGTGTGGGCCATACGTTTTCCTCATCTTCGCTCTGCTTTCTGGTCTTCGCATTTTTCCGAGTTCCTGAAACACGAGGCAAAATTTTTGACCAGATCTCCAGCCACCTTCCACCATCATCCACAAAACATGAAGGATATGGTTCAGGGGAAGCACAGTACAGAACTGGACTACCTAGGCTCTGATGGGACAGAGAACTGAGGCTTGAGTACAAGAGAGATGGTGAAATGGGGGCCAGAATGACTGCAACTGTTCTTTGAGGCTTGGAGAGGAAAATGGGATGCATACCAAAAAGAGAACATTACTACTCAGAAGAGAGTAAGGCATTTGGTATTTGGATATTAGGTATTATAAAGATGGATGTTGGACAATGGAAGAGAGAGCAAGTTTGAGTTTAAAAAAAAAAGAGCAACAGACTTTAGTTTTGGAATCCCACACTTTAAAATGCACATAGGTTTCCATATGCCATGAAACCAGTTATGCTTTTGCATACAACTATAGTAGACATAGACTACGCTTTAAGTTCCTAGCATTATTTAAAAAGGTTTTAGTAACAATGGGTCAAATACTTATAAAATGCTTTTTAACAGTTTTTGCACAAAGCTAAAACTTCATTTGCACATTTTTAGTGCTTATACTGTGGTCATTCACTATCCTTGACACACATTACAAAAACAAATAAAACCTCCAACATTCTTACAAATCAGTTTTAAATACAGCACCATACATTTAAACATGCACATTTCTATTCACTAGAACTGTTTGTATAGAACCCAACTGAATTAATAAAAAAAAACAAGGTGTGCTATGTGTAAAAGAAAAAACTATACTCCTTATGTTCAATTCTGTTGTCATTGTATGCCACATTTTGAGGTGTAAGCTAAGTGTAACTTTTTGACAACTTATATGGTTGAATAAAACATGTTTTCGTTCTCTGACAATCTTTTTAAGAACTGTACGTGCACAAAAATGTTGACCAGTTTTTCAACAAGGTTTGGTACAAGAGTGCAAGGATAAATTGATACATTACGCTTATGCATATGCTACTTTTACATTTTGAGATGTCAATCATGAATGCAGACTTCTGAATTTTCTGTCAAGAATGACCGGCACAAACACACTTAATCAGACCAAAAGGTCCAAAGAAGAGTCAGAAGGCTTTGCAAATACTTTATTTACTTCACTGGCATTGCACATAATCCCCACCAAAGAAAGGAACATACCAAAAGAAAAGAAAAAGGGACTATCTTAAACCAGTTTGTATTTTGATTGGATGCATATTTTCCCTTTTTATCTAGTTATAAGTAAGAGAAGAGTCTGTGCAGAGCTCATCACACTGGATGGCATTTCCTCTCACTGGTGAACTTAAAGTAGCCAAACTGGTCAAGTTTTCTCTACTGCTCATCGCCCATAGTACAGAACAAAACTTCAAAGGGGAAATATTGCAAATATAATGGGCTTTCAGAGCAGGTTTCTCTCTCTCTTTTTTTCAATTTTAATTTTAAATGGCTAAAGATGCATCAACCCAACCCTCCCTTCTCCACCAGCCCTTCCTCTCCATCCATCCTTCTCTTTCTCTCTCCCTGACAGATAAATGATCCTGACCTCAAGTGGTGAATCAAGTTGGGGGAGGGACAAGGATGTAGAAGTGAGGGGCAATTGTTTGCACAATGGTTGAATGTTTGACGAGACAAGCAAGGTCCTACCCCCATACTAACCCAACCAGAAACCTATGCAGAAACACAGGAAGAGAAAAATGTAAATGCTTAATTGCCTTTGCCAGCTGAAACTTAAAAAGAAGTTGTAGAAAACAAATTTTAATGCATCACTAAAAGGGATAATTCGCCCAAAATGAAAATTTGCTGTTAATTTACTCATATCTTTGATAGCCTGAGGATGAGTAATTTTTCTTTTTCAGTAGAACGGTAGCATTAAAAAAAAAAATTTAAACAAAAGATTTTTAGCTGAAACCATGGTTCTTGGCGATTCATAAAATGCAAGTTGACCGCTACAGTCATTTTGAAAGACCATAACAACAAAAACAGCATATCAGGCAACAAAATTAATACCTGTGGCTCCGGACGATATAGAGAAGTCTTAGGAAGCAAATTATCGGTCTGTGCAAGAAAATACATTAAGTGCATATAAAGTAAATAAACTAGTCTTAAATCAACTCACATTTTTAAATAAACCATGAGAAAAGAGAATCTTAAAGGGATAGTTCACCCAAAAATGAAAAATCTGTCATTAATTACTCACCCTCATGTCGTTCCAAACCCGTTCCAAACCTCGTTCATCTTCTGAACACAAATTAAGATATTTTGATGCATTCTGACAGCTCTCTGACTCTCCCATAAACAGCAAGGTTACTACCACGATCAACGTCCAGAAACGTAACAAGGAGATCGGTAAAATAATCCATGTGACATCAGGGGTTCAACCGTAATATTACGAAGCTACAAGAAAAAAAATAATAAAAAATTACTTTGTCTCCACCCTAGCGCCATTTTGGAGAGTATCCACTGAAGGCAAACAGCGCATGTTGTTCTGTCAGCCGCACCACACAGACACAAATAGTTGAATAAAGTCGGGGTTTTTTTCCTTTTGCGTACAAATTGTATTCTTGTAGCTTTGTAATATTACGGTGGAACACCTGATGTCACATGGATTATTTTACCGATCTCCTTGTTACGTTTCTGGACTTTGATCGTGGTAGTACCCTTGCAGTCTCTGGGAGGTTCAGAGAGCTGTCAGAATGCATCAAAATATCTTAATTTGTGTTCAGAAGATGAACGGAGGTCTTACGGGTTTGGAACGACATGAGGGTGAGTAATTAATGACAGAATTTTCATTTTTGGGTGAACTAACCCTTTAACTCAATTTAGCTCCTTCATTCAAGTACTTGGTTCATGCATACTCGTATAAGCAGCTTATCAGCTCTTCGGTCCGAGTCCAAACAGTTTCCTCCGTTCAGTGTACTATTGGAGTAACCGGAACGCTGAATGAGTTGGCAAAAACTGGCATCACAGGATTATATACGCCGATATAGTGGCTCATTTTAAGTCAAGAGTGACTGTCGGCCACGTTCAAAAGAGAGTTTTGATTGAGTAACTTGTAGATCTGTGCTGGCTTGAGCCAAAAACGGTTTCAGATGGTTTAGTCCAATTTAGTGAACTGGTTCATCCAGTTCACTCAAAAGAACCCGTTTAAAAGAATGATTTGCACGCAAACTGGACATCTCTCTGGATGTTTCTTGCACATACCGATCATTTCGCTTTATAAGACCAAAATATAATTGTCAGGAGCCACATATTAATTTTGTGTGGCCTGACATACTATTTTTTTTTTACCCTTAAAGTGACAGTAGCCATTGACTTGAATTTTATGAATCACCAATGACCATAGTTTCAGCTAAAAACCTTTACTGTTATACTTAAGTTACATTTTGGATGGTCTGAGGATAGGAAAATTAACAGCAAATGTTCATTTTTTGGTGTAAAACATCAAATTAAGCCTTTCGGAATATAGAGTAGCTGCTGCTTAGTTTAGCCTGTGGTCAAGCTGACAACATCTGTTGTATTTCAGCAGCAGTTGCAGTTTGAAGGCAAAAACTATTTACCACCTTCAAAACACAGCACCAGTTTAGCTCAGGAAGTCTCACCTCTTGCCGGAGGTCACATGATTCCTTCCAGGTCACAGATATCATTCTGAGGGCTTGGAAGCTGTGGGAGGAGGGGTCTACACAAGGAGAAAGTGTTGTTAGTGCACATGGGGTAGTGGGCACATGCACATCACATTACAAATGCCAAGAAACAACAAATGGCCAAAATACTGTTTGAATTTTAATAAATATATATATATAAATAATATTAGGGGTGTAGCGGTTCACAAAATTCACGATTCGGTTCAATACGATACAGTGGTCTCACAGTTCAGTATGTTTTCAATTCAGCAAAAAGAAAAAAAATGCCAGAGAAATTCTTGATTTAATTTTTTTTAATCAGGATTTGTTTTGCCCTGTTTGAATCAGTTGGAAATGCCTGCCTAAATGCTGCGGGGATAGTTTGTAGAGCGTGTTTGTCTCCTTGTTTTCGTTTAGTTCCATAATTCTGATATCAATAGGAACAATATTTTAAAAAGCCTCAAACTGCCAAGAATGCCCACAACAGATGTCTGTACCTACAGACTTCTGAAAAATGAATTTGCCAAGTCTATGAAACCTCCTCCTATAAAACTATATAATATTTTACGGGAAAAAAAAACTGCACAAATAAATTAATGTTCACCTTTTATTTGTATTTAGCCATACAAACAAAAATTTGAAATCACTATCAAATAAATGTAAAAGACTCTCATGCTCACCTTAATATTAATATATTTAACTTTATACCATAACATAGGCTGATTATTCTTATAGATTGAAACAAAAGTGCTTCAGCCAGGATAAAGAATATGAAAAGTGCTCAGTTGCTGCAAAAACAAAAAAAAAAGTTTCACGGACAGCAGGAGGTGCTTCTGGAGCGGTAGTAACAGTGGTTTCCCTGGTAACGGCTGTACACAAAGCAGCGCTGCGCTCATGAACGCTGCTTTATCAGATAAAATGAAAATGCCATCGAAACTTTTTTGAAGACAGTTGGTTCCCTTCAAAGACATTCATATAAAACACCTGTGCTGCGTTTTGGTTTTGAAACGTGCAGTGCTCATGTTTATTCAATGAAGTCAAACACCACAAATAAATCAATGTATGGGAAACACTGGTAATGTGTATCGAAATATCGGAAATGTGTTTAAAAATAATTTCACCGTTATTGAAAAATATATATATATATATTGCCATATGTATTGATATTAAATTATTGTCCAGCACTAGCCATACTGCAACGAACGATCTAGTCCAGCCTATGCCTGACTGGAGCAGTGTGTTTTTCTTTGGGGGGGGTGTTACGTCATTTTGGCTGCCCTGTTGAGCACAGTGGCACTGAGAACAACACACACACACACACATACACACACACACACACATATACATACACACACACATATACATACACACACATACACATAAATAGCTCACATCAGTTTTAAGGGATTGTTTTGGAGAAGCTTCAGCCAGGGCCTCAGGTTTTTCAGGTTCATCTCCATCCTAAATATTGACAAGCCAGATATTTAAAGACATCTATATAGCCTAGTTGAACAAAATTCACTATTACATAAGATTTTTTTTTTTTTTAAGTCAAATATATCACATCTGAGAAATTTATTATCTGTCCAGCTAAACAGAAAATAACCCCGTTGCAGAACTGTGGCAGCTAATGAGAAGTTCACGTCAAAGTCAGGCAGCAAAGACAAATCTAATGGTGTCAATTTCAACAGCTTCACTTCACTGCATTTTTCTAGAAAATCACTCACTTTAGAGGCACCAGATTCAGATTTCTTCTGTCTGCGCCGACTGAACTGTCTGCGGGGTTTCCGGGGCTGCCCCTCAGTCTGCTCCCTATTGGTCTGGCTCTCTTTAGGGGGGGACTCTTGCTCTTCTGCAGGGACTACTGTCTGTTGAGCCTCTCCAGGGAGTGGGTGAGGATGTAATGGCCTGGACGTTCAAGAAAAGAGACTTTCATGTTTACATAAAACACAATAAATACACACAGGGTACATGCATGTTTAAGGTAATTAAATGACAATGCAAATTTTAAAACAAATTATTAATAATTAGTGATTAGAGCTGATAAATTAAGCATTATAAATATAATTATTTAAAACTATGTATTATTTATAACTTTTTCCAGCCTTAAATACACTTTTGAAAATTTAGGGAATCTCAACATTTGTCCCGACTCCTTATTTCCAGTTTCCCTTTCAACTTAACACCACTGTGTGAACTTGATTCAAGACAACAACAAAAAAACAAAAACTCCAAATATACAAGTGATGATATGAATCTTCGAAATCGAGGTCTGAACCTGCGTGGTGGCGGCCTCTGCTGGGCACCATCTACTTCCTCGTTCTTCTCTCCAGCTTCTCCCTAAAGCAGAGACAAGAAAACTGCTCACTGACCAGCTGTGTGCACTAAAACAATTAGCTGTTTAAAGGCTTATCATACTCAATATTTAAAGTTCACATTGAACACACACTGATTACATTTACATGGACATCAGTAATCTAATTATTTAACTTGTTCTAAATAAGCCAATATTATGATTATGGTGTTTACATTACTTTGAGTATTATTTTCATGTTCCCGTTTTACATGTTATAGTACATAGTTCGATTAATGGCACACGTCATTACGTCCCCACGTGACGCCATCCAACGTCCCCTCCAGAATTTCAGGTATAAACATAGTTCGTCTTCGTGATGATGCCGTGTACAGTTTAGGGTGTTTCATTTTTAATTTTATGAAAGCTTCAAGTGCAGTTAATTATTTGTACGTGCATACAGACGATGGCGGTGTGGAAGCTCTTTTATTTGCCGTCAAACAGTTGACCACTGCCGTGTGTGTATCCTGTTGCAAAAGTTGCGAAAAGTCCTACACAACGGTAATAATGTGATTAAGGTGTTTCCATGACTTTACTGCACTTCAATAACACGACTAAAATAGGAATACTCCACGACTTAATACGATTAGTGTTTACTTCGATTGTGACTTTAGCCGGATTAAGGTAATCAAAAATCTCTGTTAACATAGTAGATTCTTAATAAGAGTATTGTCTTAATCGTATTAAAATCTGAGTATTGTTGTCCATGTAAACGTACTCAATGTAACTCATGTACTCTGTGAAATGTCACCAGAGCCTACAAGATTCTCAATTTACTAACAATGTTTCAAAATTACTTCTATTAATCTAAGGTATACTAGACCTTTGGTTAAAAAGCATTTAAATGACCTCACCTCGCCTTGTGGCTGAATAGGTCTTCTGCGTGGGCGCTGGCGCCGAGGATGTGGCCGAGGGGCTCCTTTCACTTCACTGCCCTCTCCCTCAGATATGGGCCCTGCTGGAGCCCCCCCAGATTTCTCCTCTCCTTCAGCAGGTTGTGCATTATGGGGGTAAAAGCGCCTACGGAATCTTCGTTTATTGGGGGCGTATCGACTGCCTTTGACAGGTATACCCCCTGGACCGGTCACATTTGCTGCCTCTGAGCCCTGAAATAAAGGCTCAGTTTTAGAGGATAAGTTATTAAACACAATATTCCTCAACACTCTTTTGATACATCCAGATACCACATACTTTAGCTGCTTCGACAACATCAAACTCCACAACCTCACCGTCCCCCACACTTCTGAGGAACTTTCTTGGGTTATTCTTTTTTATTGCAGTCTGCACAAAGGGAAAAGGCAAAACCTTAGTATAACATCAATTTTAAACAATGCTGGGTGGGTTAAACTGCAATTTAAAGTAAGAATTTGAAAAAAAAATTCTTAGAAACAATTTAACTTTAAAATAAATGTAAAGGTGATCTCAATAGGTTTTACTTTTTGTAATGTCATTTAAACTTACTAGGGAAGAATGTCATGTATATACACTGCATTTACCATGCGTCAAACATTTGTTCAATATGACACACTAGTGGCATTACTCCATAACCTTTAATTTAGAGAGTTTCTATTTTAAAATGAATTAAGTCTAAATTAAATGTTGCTGTGTTTATAAAGTCATTACCTGATGAACAAATACATCTTCTTTAGTATCATTTCTGAGAAACAAAGAGCATTCAATTAAATTTTTAAATTTCAGTGAACATTTTAACCAATATTTATTCTGAGAACAGATAAAACCAATTATTTAAATGCTTGATTAGCAATACGATCACACACAAAGAGAGGTCCAGAAGCCTGAGATCACTTTGAACATCTGGGCTTTCTTCTTTGAAACATGGAAATAAGGTTTTAGAATTTTACATTTCAGACAGTGTTTTAGGTCACTGATCAAATTTGTAATGAAAATTGCTGTTTTAAATGGGGGGGGGGGGGGGGGGGGACACTAGTGGTCTCAGACGTTTGGACCCCACAGTATCCATCAGACTGTGCATAGTTAGTCAGGTGAGGATTCCTTTACTTATTATAAACATACCTATTGATGAAGCCATATCCATTGCGCACATTGAACCATTTCACAGTTCCCTGCACACCTGTCGCTGTAATAGATAAAAATAGTATATCACCATCTAGTGATAAGATCTGGCAGGATTCGTATGCTCAGGCAAAGCCCAAGGAACCGACTCATTTGAACACTGTGGGCCATGTGTCTGAATCAACTACAAACTAAGACCCTTCAACCACTTTGGCCACTCAAGCGCAGGTCACAACTTTATTCAAGTCATAAAGGTAGTCTAAAACTCACGTTTTTTGGCCCGATAGGAAGAGTTTTCTTATTACTATGCGATCCAACGGGTAAATATGGGCAATTACATATGGCTGATAATGTGAAGCTTTTACGTAACGAAATGCATCACACCTGCAGTTAAATCCCTCCCATCAACGAAGTCTCACGGTGTAAACAGCCAAACGCTGGTCTGCTTCTAATATGAACAACTTAAGATCCTACCAGGCATGTTCCTTTCATTTCTCTTTATGCTGTAATTACAGAAACGGCATATTAAATCCCAACAAGAGACAATCAGACTGCCCAGTGAGAAGTTACTAAATGGTCAAATAAGTTCCAAATAGAATGAGGGTAAAACGTGGTTTCTAAAAAGCATTAATCTACAGCTTTATCGATACTATCCATACAAAGTCGCACGTGGAAGTAATTAATTAAACTTTATTTCCGTATGCCACAAAAATGAAACCATCATCATTATCTTAAAGACGATAGGCTACTGTCGAAAGGTAAAGCAAAACAAAAAAACACCCGCTGATAAATGCAAACGGCAATTTTGTCAGTAAAGCCTGTCAGTCGTGTTTCACCCCTTATACATGACGTGTTCATTGCTATGATCTGCAATGTGCCTTAAATAAACGTATTATTGTCGCTAAAGTCACTGAACCCCTACCGATAACTTTTCTCTCGGGCTGAGGTTGCTCAGACGCCTCTGTGTCGCTCATCTTCTCTCTGGATTTAACCTTTTCCCTCCGACTCTCCAAACTTTAACTTGTGTGTCCACCTCAAACTTTTTATCCCGATTTCCTTTCAGGAAGGATAGCCTCGATTTAATTGGTGTTCAAACGACCAATCCGCGAGTTCCAACTTCATTCTCGCGTGATCAATTGGGAGTCATCGCAATGTCTCGCGTGAAAACCAACAACTTCTTTACAGTTAATTACTTTTGAAAGAAATTTGATAACAAGTTGCTAAGTTGTTTTCTATATGGTTATGTTGTTCATTGTAATGTCATAATCCCACTTTATCTATCTATCTATCTATCTATCTATCTGTCTATCTGTCTATCTGTCTGTCTGTCTGTCTGTCTGTCTGTCTGCCTGTCTCTAGTAGATATTTATAGGCTAGATGCCTAATGTATTTCGTAACAGACGGGTGCACTTGTTTCTCTGTAGAGGATATCAGGTGGTGCGGTCAAACAGAAAATAAGTAATATGGCAAGCCGGTTTAGCATTTAAAAGTTTGTTTTGACTATCCATAAATATAATTTAAGATAGGAACAAATGTATTTTGACAAGTCATAATTATAATTTGACTAGTCACAATGACAATTAGAGATATCTGCAATTGTAATTGCAGTAGTAAGAAATCGGATTAGAGATATCTCTAAATACTTTATGACTAGTCAAAACTCCATTTAAGATATCTGTAATGACATCATAGATATCTTCAATAGGGCGTCACTATGGCAAGTACATTTTTATTTCCATACTTTTGAATTACTTCTGTATAAAACAGTTTAAAATGACCCAAAGACGCAGGACCTTAGCATTAAATACTCCTTGCTGTACTAGTCATAATTTAGTTTTGACTAGTCAAAATTCCAATTCCAGATATCTATTCTGCAATTTTGACTCGTCGTAATTGGAATTAAGATATCTACAATGTGATTATGACTAGTCATTATATGCATTGAAGATATCTAAAATGTTATTTTGACTAGAACGAAATGCATCACACCTGCAGTTAAATCCCTCCCATCAACGAAGTCTCACGGTGTAAACAGCCAAACGCTGGTCTGCTTCTAATATGAACAACTTAAGATCCTACCAGGCATGTTCCTTTCATTTCTCTTTATGCTGTAATTACAGAAACGGCATATTAAATCCCAACAAGAGACAATCAGACTGCCCAGTGAGAAGTTACTAAATGGTCAAATAAGTTCCAAATAGAATGAGGGTAAAACGTGGTTTCTAAAAAGCATTAATCTACAGCTTTATCGATACTATCCATACAAAGTCGCACGTGGAAGTAATTAATTAAACTTTATTTCCGTATGCCACAAAAATGAAACCATCATCATTATCTTAAAGACGATAGGCTACTGTCGAAAGGTAAAGCAAAACAAAAAAACACCCGCTGATAAATGCAAACGGCAATTTTGTCAGTAAAGCCTGTCAGTCGTGTTTCACCCCTTATACATGACGTGTTCATTGCTATGATCTGCAATGTGCCTTAAATAAACGTATTATTGTCGCTAAAGTCACTGAACCCCTACCGATAACTTTTCTCTCGGGCTGAGGTTGCTCAGACGCCTCTGTGTCGCTCATCTTCTCTCTGGATTTAACCTTTTCCCTCCGACTCTCCAAACTTTAACTTGTGTGTCCACCTCAAACTTTTTATCCCGATTTCCTTTCAGGAAGGATAGCCTCGATTTAATTGGTGTTCAAACGACCAATCCGCGAGTTCCAACTTCATTCTCGCGTGATCAATTGGGAGTCATCGCAATGTCTCGCGTGAAAACCAACAACTTCTTTACAGTTAATTACTTTTGAAAGAAATTTGATAACAAGTTGCTAAGTTGTTTTCTATATGGTTATGTTGTTCATTGTAATCCCACTTTATCACTTTATCTATCTATCTATCTATCTATCTATCTATCTATCTATCTATCTATCTATCTATCTATCTGTCTGTCTGTCTGTCTGTCTGTCTGTCTGTCTGTCTGTCTGTCTGTCTGCCTGTCT